CGAAGATTTTTTTATTTTTTTTTTCCCCGAACAATTGTCAGCGAGATCTCTCTCAAGTATTCAGAAGATAGGCTATCTTTATCTTCTTCTTCTTCTTTTTTTTTTTTTTTTTAAGTTACGTCCATACCTGAAGTAGCAGATTGAGGTCGTCCTGAACAATGACGGCTCCACGTTCTACCAAGCAGCTGACTGAAGGCGACGACGATTCGCACCGCTCACTGGCGATGTAGCGGCTCTTGTCCCCACCATCCCTCGAAGCTCCCCCTTCCCCGCACTCGGCGCGCTTCTGCTTCCCGTCATAGTGTTCGTCCTGATGTCCGCCACTCATGACCATCACGCGAAACATCAGTGCGGCACGAGCTGATCGCCCAAGGCCGCTCATGCCACGCCATTCGACGCCAACGGTTCTCTTACTCGTTTTTTTGAACGAGCGGTCTCGTCCTCGATCCGTGAATTGCCACGTCTTCCCCGTCGACGACAACGACTGCCATGAGCGCGTCGCACGGAGCATTGAGGACGCCGCACAGCTCTTTGAGGACGCCGCACCGCTCTTTGAGGAGGCCGCACCGCTCCATGACAGCGTCGCACATCTCATCGTCGCACGACCGCGCACGCGCGAGAGTGTCTTGTCAAGGCGGAGACGATTATTGCGTAACCATGGTCGGCGGAAGAAGTATCTGTCGATGCTTCGCTGTGCGACAACCGTTGGAACGACGTGCGGCGGTGCCACCCGCAGTCTTGTCGCGCGTCTGGGGTCCTTGTCTAGTATCCCTTTCCTCCCCCCAAAAGGGTGCAAAGAGTAGATGGAGGTGGACTTGGGAGAAGGTAATTTAGACGGAAAACGAGCTGAGGAACGTCTCAAAGGACCCACAGGAACGCGAACGCCGCGCAATAGAATGATAGCAGCGCGGGAAACGCCTCGCAATGGCCGCGCAGCCAGAAACTGCGCGGCGATGGCCATGCTATAAAGACTGGTAGAGAAGGATTTGCGTCCCACGACTCGTGCAGACACGTGATAATTCCCCCAGTGATGACGATATAGAAATGGCTATGGGGGTGGCGATATCTTCATCACGATAGTTGTGAAAATGGCTATGGGGATGAAGGGTCCCGAGGGCTACGTCTGTGGCGATGACGATGGCTATGGAGGTGGCTATAACAAAGGCCAAGGGAGACTATCGTCGAGGCTCGGATTGTACATGTAGAGTGTTAATCAAACCAAAACCGATGATCGCTGTCTCAGTCATCGCACCAACTGCGTCAATGGAGGCGAGTACTGTCTACCTACCGGAGGAGAGCTTTTGCAACTAGCTACTGAGACTTCCCGTATCTCCCAGGAATAAGTCCGCGTCAAGCGGGAGAGAGCCCAGACACAATCGCACACACACACACACACACACACACACACAGAGAGAGAGAGAGAGAGAGAGAGAGAGAGAGAGAGAGAGAGAGAGAGAGAGAGAGAGAGAGA